GTGCTGCTGAAACATTTCTAAACATTTCTTTACAAAGTCTCTCCTGACAGGAACCAGAAATGTTTGTTGGGACGTGGACCAGCAGGTCTGGTCTCACCTGACAGGTTCCACTTCCTCACCTGGTACTAAACAGGAAGTGCTGCTAACCAGCACTAACTGCAGACATCTGGACCTGTTTAAAGAACATCAGAAAACTGGTTCTGTTGTYTCAGAGTCGGGTCGGTCCTCAGTAGAAGGAACAAACTGGTTCTGATCCCTCAGAATCTGGACTTTCAAACGGTTTTATTATTTTATTTTCAGTATTTAAACACGTCCAGCCCATTCCAGCACACAGTTCTGAGCTCACCCATCCCGTGCCACAGAACCAGCGGGACCGTCCCGTTGTTGGAGTCACGGACCGGGCCGGAGGAGACCAGCAGGACGGAGGCAGACAGGAGCAGAGCCAGAAGGACCGCAGCCATCCTGGAACTGATGCAAAACATGAATCAGGTCTACGTCCTGCAGGGACCGGCCCGGTTCACTGCAGAGGAYTCTGCTCCAGAACCAGCAGGTGGATCAGAACCAGAGCTTTTCTTAAAGTGCCTGTGACACACATATTCTTCAAACATAAAAAGTCAAAGAAAACACCTTTTTGTCTCATAAATGGCTCAGCTAAAGTGAAACAGGAAGTGACATCACAGGGGAACTCTTTAACAAATAAAACTCTGGTCTTTGTTTAATGAAACAATATTATTTAAACTCTTCTTCATCTCTCTGACAGAGACTCAAAATAAATTACAGAAACATCAGATTCTTCTCTGCAGTCTGTGTTAGCTGTTAGCACTGCTCTGTTCACATGTAAACATTCCCCTGTGACATCACTTCCTGTTACTTCACATTCAAATATCTCAACAACTGTTCATCTCAGCGACATGAAAGTTATTTAGCAATATTTTATAAATGTCCTCTTTCTAATAAAGCATTCATATTTTACAAAAATTTGACGTCACAGACATTTTAATGTCTGCAGTGAAACAAGCCTGTAAAACATTACCTGAGGTTTTATATGTTTATCTGTAGAATTATACAACTCTTACAAAATAAAAGCAGAATTAACTGTGATGAAGTTCACTCATGTTTACACTTTAAATCGTTCAGATTCATTAAAAAGTTAAAGTCAGTTATAACGCAGTAAAAACCTGCGGCTCCGTTCAGCTGRTGACTCGACAGGAAGATTAATCTCCTCTTAAAACCCTTTTTATTCCATAAAAGCAGGTTTTTAATCCCATCAAGGTTTAAACGAAGTAAAATAACTTCAAAGGACTGATGCTTGTAATGTAATAACCTTGAAATAAACGTTTAAAATGTTATAAAAGCTCCAGAAACACTCACCGCTGAACTGTTTCCTTCTTTAATGTTCGGCTTCGTGTCACGTGACTGTGTTGTGATCCGGCAGCCAATCAGAGAGGAGGGGCGGGGCTTGTAGGTTAAAGCTAGGTTAGCCTGTTAGCATTCCTTTATTTTGACTTCATGTTTCCTGAACCAGCAGAAACTGACGCATATTCTGCGTGTCGAACCGAACCGGGCKGGTGGTTCGGGTGTGTCACCGTCTGTTCGTCGTCATGTCGAACCGCCTGACGAGATGTTTGGACCCGACCTGCTGCTTTAAAGCCTGACCTGCGGACAACAACAAGATGTTTTAGACAAAGACTGAAGTGCTAAATTATATTTATATTTAGATATCTGGAAAAGACACAATTATTGGCGATAATATAGTTTTTATTTTATTTATTTATTTATTTATTATATTTTTTACCCACTGTTTGTGTCATTTTGGTCCACACTCCCTTCCAGCAGGTGGCGGTAATGCACCTAATACCAACCGCCWTTAAAAAGAAGAAGAACTCATCTGGTTTTGGGTTCTTTGGTTCCGATGAGATGCAGGCTGAGCTCCGAACCTGAGCAGCAGCTACGGCTTCGTTTGTTCGTTTCCTAAAAGCTTCTTCAGGGTGGAGGACCTGGACCAGGACTGTTCCTGGGCCAGCAAACCCAGGATCCTGCTGATGGGGCTCAGGAGGAGCAGCAWGTCCTCCATCCAGAAGGTCAGGAGGTTCTGGTCCACACAGTTTTAGCTGTTGAAGCACGGCGGCGGTGCTGTCATGATGTGTTGGTCTCATGAACACGTTTGATCTGATTGATTCTCTAATTTTACTGAATCCAGGTGGTTTTTCACAAGATGTCCCTCAACAAGATGTTCCTGGAGACCAACAAGATCTACAAGGACGAGATCTCCTGCAGCTCCTTCATCAGGTGGACCTCTTCGACCTTCGACAGCGAGATGATCTTCAAAGGAACCGGAGCTCTGATCTTCATCATCGATGCTCAGGTAGAAGAACCCAGCAGCTGGTCTGTTCTGGACCTGACGTGTTCGTAGAAGATGTTCCTTCCTGTGATCAGAGCTCCTCTCTGGTTCTGGTTCTGGTTCTGGTCTGCGTCCTCAGAGAGGAGAACCTCCAGAGGAAAGGTGGACCTTCTTCTGATTTGTTTGTTTTGACGTCACAGTGTTCAGAAGTGAACGGTTCTGGTTCTGGTCTGATCGATTAGAACCTCCACTGTTTACAGAAAGCATCCATGAGGTCTTTGAAGTGGGCGGGTCTTTGAAGTGGGCGGGTCTTTGAAGTGGGCGGGTCTTCAGACGGCGCCTCCTGGACCCTGGCTAGTTCCTCCAGCAGCCAGCTGACAGGTCTGAAGAGCGTCGCCCTCAGCGGGAGCCTCGYGTAAAACTCCCATCATGCATCACTGTCCCCGTCTGCTCTGATTGGTCAGCTGAAGCTCCGCCCACCTTCTGCATCTGCTCTGGGTTTATATGTGGACCTGGTTCTGATTGGCTGCAGGTTAGGTGTCAGATGTCAGATGCAGACTGAGGCTTTTATTGTGAAGGAGCCTTACCTGGAACAGCTTCATCATCATCATCATCATCATCACTCTGGATCAGATCAGTTTCACCAAACGAACCTCGTGTCGTGTTAACGATAATTAAAGTTTTAATTAAAAGGAGAGTTCTTACTGATTGAAGTGTGGTTTAATAGTAAGGTCAGTAAATATCTTACCTGCTACAGGTAGCTCTTCAAACAACTTTAGTTTTATTCTGACAGGGCTGATGAGCTAAAGGCTAGTCTGAACCGACCCGTGAAGATGAGTCCAAACTGAGTGAAGTCTGGTCTCAGGTTCTGGTTCTGGTTCTGGTTCTGGTTCTGGTTCTGATGGACCTTTCAGATTTATCATGATGCGGTTTTTGAATAAAAAAGGTTTTATAATTTGCTGAGTCATGTTCTGTGTGATCTGCTGAGTCACCAGCAGAGGGCAGAACATCCACAGGTTCATCCTTCCTCCTCTGATGAAGACGAGCAGATCAGAACCTGGACCTGATCCGGTTTCTCCTGCATCAGAACCTAACTGGACTGAAACCTTTGACCTCGTGTTGAAGTCAGCAGGTGGGTCTAGAACCTGACACCAGAACAGGATCATGGTTCTGATCCRATCCAAAGTGCTGCACAGAACAGATGACGCAATAAAAACATAAAAACACGTTTTTCAAAATAAAATAACATTTACAGAATCTGGTTTTTATTCTGTCACTTTGGATYGGATCAGAACCATGGTCCTGTTCTGGTTCTACAGTCTGCTGCAGCTCCGGTCTGGCCTCAGGGAGGATCCTCTGGAGTCCAGACTCTGGAGGAGGTCCTGGAGGAGGAGCACAGAGACCAGGAGGTGTTCCGGGCTCTGGGTCCGGCCCCTCAGACTCAGACTTCATTCTGAACCCGGAGCTTCACCGAGGATCTGGTTCTGCTCAGGTTCTGGAGGTAAGAACTCCTCTGTTACTTTAATGGCTTAAATGTCCTGAGGACAGGTGAGCTGGGGGCGGGGCTTCACCTGTCCTCACCTGTTTAGTCTTCAGGGGAACAACATGAAAACATGAATCAGCTGATTAAAGCTGAAGATTGGTTTTTATTTTATTCAAATTAAAATGTTTCTGAATGAAAAGTAAAAATCTGAACCTGTAAAAAGTTCTGAAAACACTGGTTCTGACTGGTTCTGGTTCTAAGCTCTCTGATATAAACCAACGGGCCAAGGACCAGAACCGGTCTTTAAAATGATCCATACAAACGTTTTTGTGCTTTTATTTTGAAAAACGGAGTTAAAGGAATAAAGAGTTGGGAGTTCTGTTAGACCCGTGTGCAGCAGAACCCGTCCTGGTTCTGCTCGTGGTTTCCAGCAGCCCCCCACTGAAACAATCAGCTGTGGTTCTGTTCCTCAGACTCCTGGCGCTGGTTCTGTTGGACCCAGACGGTTCTGCCACGTCTCAACCACACTCACATTCTTCACACATTCTTCTGCTGGGTCCAATCTTTGTTGGACAGAACCAGAACCTGAGTTAAACCCAGCTGACTGGGTCGGTTCTACAGATCGGGTCAAAGGTTCTGGTCCAGTTCTCCTCCCAGAGGTCCAGACTTTCTCCGGTTCTGTCAGAGTTTTTGTTTTCAGAACCTGAGCTGAGGTCCAGAGTCTGCTGCACTTCAGAACCAAACACCACCAGGTTCAGGAGGTTTCAGAGACGGACCAGAACCAGAACCAGAACCAGAACATCTTCCATCAACAGGCTGCTTTCAGTTTCAGCTGGGTCCAAGGTTCTGTTTCTGACACTCCAGAACCTGCAGAACCTCTCATCCTGCCTGCAGCTAGAACCCATACACATCTGAAAACCCGGGTCAGAACCAGAACCTGACAGCTGAAGCAACAAAGGACCAGCCCCCTAAACAGAAACCAATCATTCCAGGTTCTGATGGTTCTGATGAACCCAGAAGTGGTCCACGGTGGACAGGAAGAGGACCAAACGGGGACAGTGTGAGGAAGGAGGTCCATTGTTCAGAACCAGAACCAGAATAGAAAGTCGGACCTTTGTTGTGGGAAGTTTTCCCTCCGTGTTTGTTGACCCAGATGTTCTGAGAGGAAACGGTTCTGATCTGAGGATCCATCTGGACTGATGAAGAGGAGTCATGTGATGAGGTTCTGGTTCTGGTTCTGGTTCTGTCCAGGTTGGACCCACCTCTTCTGTTCTGATTTTACAGATTCATCATGTCAGAAGAAAAACCAGAACTTTCTCCAAGTTCTGAGCTCCTGAACCTGAACAGAACCAGACCTTAAATAAAAACAGGTTTTTATTTATTCACAGGTCAGACACACCTGACCTTTGACCTTTGACCTTTGACCTCYAACACTACTTCCTGGTTCAAGCCTGTCCTGTTTGGACCTACAGCTCAGAGTTCACAGCAGAACCTTCAGGGTTCAAATGGGTCAGAAACTTTGTTTCCAGAACTTTAACCCTTAAACTGCCCAGCATCTCTGACCTGACAGAAACCCACGAGTCACTCTGTCTGACAGTGACTCAGCATCTTTTATTCACAACTTTACATGTTGTTTAGAAGAAACACTGTTTTCTTTAACGTTCAGAGTCAACATGAGCGAGAAGTTCAGCTGCAAACACTGCAGCCAGCCTCTGCACGGCTGCAAATACATCCAGGTGGAGGCCACGCCCCACTGCATCACCTGCTACGACCTGCTGTTCTCCAACACCTGCCACGAGTGCAGAGGGGCCATCAGCCACAACGACAAGGTACGCCCCGTCATCAGGTGATAGACAGGTACGCCCCGTCATCAGGTGATAGACAGGTATCATCAGGTGATAGACAGGTACGCCCCGTCATCAGGTGATAGACAGGTACGCCCCGTCATCAGGTGATAGACAGGTGTCATCAGGTGATAGACAGGTGTCATCAGGTGATAGACAGGTGTCATCAGGTGATAGACAGGTGTCATCAGGTGATAGACAGGTGTCATCAGGTGATAGACAGGTGTCATCAGGTGATAGACAGGTGTCATCAGGTGATAGACAGGTGTCATCAGGTGATAGACAGGTGTCATCAGGTGATA